AAAGTGAGATGTGGTTTTCCCCCCGACACAATGATACAATCATCCGAAGATTTGTTGAGATCCGGCAATCTTTTTTTCTTCTTCTGAGATTTGTAAACCTGTCAATCATCTGTCAGAGGTAGTCACGTGTGAACAATAGGTGGATCTTCGATGGAGATAAACTGTTGATCTGACTCCGCCTGTGGCACTCCCGTCTGACACTCCTCCATAACTTGAGTACCCTCTTCTCTCGCAATAGGTGGTTTGAAGACTGCAACCAGCATCTGCAATGACAAAATTCGTAGAATTTGTAATCTGAGGAAGAGCTGCCTCAACAACAGTAGGCGAAAGCTGCTGGTTTGGTTGATGAGGAGTAGCCTTATGAGTCAAATTCACATTCAACATTTCTGGAAGATTAATGGTGTCTGTTATATTTTCCTCCATATGGATGATGTTGTTAGGACCTGTCGATCTCAAATGTGGGTGGAGCCTGAAACATTTGATAGGGGTGTGCCTAAATAGTTTACAGTGATTGCAGTAGTAGGGTCTTTGTTTTGCTTTAATTGACTGCCAATACCCATTGTGGGCAGTACTAAGCCATATTTCGTTCACATCAGGGAGGATGATATCTTTTTCAACAAGAATTCTTGCAATCAAAGGGCTGGTTAGATTGAAGGTGGGTGTATCCAATTTCATAGGTCTTCCTAGTGCAGCTCCAATAGAGTAGAGAATTTGGTGGTTGAAGTAGTGCAACTTTAGGCCAACTAGTTTAAACTAGATTGGAACTATAGGTGATTCTTGACTAGGGTCGAATTCAGGAGACCACTTAAGCAGTTTCATATATTTTTCCTCTATTGTCATAAACTTTTTGGAAAATATTTTGGCATAGTCTTCAACTTTAGATAATTGTATCATCACATGTCTCCCATGAAAGAGGCCAACCTTCAAAAGTCCCAGTAATTTGAGATCTTCAAAAGCCTTTCGAACGATTTCCATTTTGGGACGTCCCGATTGGAACTTCCCAATGAAGGTGAATTTAAACTTGTTAACCAAGTTGGAAACTTCAATGTCAGAGAAGAATATAGTCAGTTTGCCACTCTTCCTACCCGTCTTCTTGATAAGGTTACATTGCATTCCTCATGGTCTTCGAATGATTAATGATAAACCAGAGGGAAAACTTGATCCGATCTCATAAAGCCAACCATATCAACAGAGGAAGCCTTCCCAAGTTTTGTTTGAGAAGGAGCAGTAGCCATGGAAGGGAGTTGAACAACGACAAGCTACTTGAGTCTGGACTGCGAGTAGTTCACAGGACCGACGCCAGTGCAACAGACGAAGCTGCAGAAGTCGGAGCCGCAGGAGACGCAGCTGAGAACTCGCAACGAAGAAGCCAGGAGAGCCGACCGAAGCCGGGAGCCGCAGAAGCGCGATAGCAGGGCCAGACGCTCGTAAAAGTGCGTGATGAAGAAATTGATGCCAAACGATGTGATAGAGAAGAGATACGACGAACAACAATCGACGACGAGGAGATAACAGGTTTCGACGTGACGACGAAACCCTAGCAGAGCGAAATCTGAACATACGACATTTTTTTATATGTATATATGTATGGCAATGGTAAAACAACTTGGCATTGGTTTTTTTAGAGGAAACGTTATTGCTGATAATTTTTTCGTACTTTATTTTAGAGAAAGCAGCCGCTCTTTGGATGGTTGGTTAAGTCTTCTCAATTCTTTCTTAGTTCTTCTATAAGATGTCTAATGTCTTTAAACTGGCCTACATTTGAGATTACAAATAAGCAAGAGTTGATTTGCAATTTGAGAATAAAGTTCTTAAGATTTAGTCCCATTGTGACTACTTGATGTCAAAAACTGTGATGTATTCTTGCACAAACTGTTTTTAATATTGCCTCAAATTGTGTTATTTATTTTATTGATCATCATCATAATCCGTCTGACAGAAAAAATATGATGACACAACATATCAATCTCTTGAATTGCCCTTAAGTTATTTCTAGATGGCCTTTACCTTTTAATTGCATGTTCCATCAAATGGATGCATAATGGCTCAATTAATGTCGAACAAATACCTCCTTGTACTATGTATTTTACCTATACGAAGTGAGGCATGGCTCCAATTGATAATCCACTCCACGCATTAAGTTTCTTGCATTTATCATCTTGTAATTAGTAGGAATCTGGAAGTTGGCTTATTTTTTATGAGGCTTGTTCTTTTACTTATCACTCATTCTCAATTTGTCTTTCATATTGCCAGCATTGCCTACCTAGCTTTTATTGTTGGGCGAATCGAAGCAGTAGGGAGAGTGTGATAAGGATTAATAAGATTTGATTTGGTGATAATGGATTGCAACTTCACCTACTCATTTATTTATTTATTTTGTCTTTCGTTTTCACTCTTAGACAAGAAGATATTCTCCCTTGTTACTCGTTCTTTTATTAGTATTGCACACCATTGATCAATGTTCTCATACCAACTTGTTCTATAGCCAATTTTCTAATGTTATGAAACAAGTTCATGATCAAATGCTAGATGAAATTCAGCAAGATTTAGGAATTTACATAGAGGTTCTCTAATTGTTAGAATAGAACTAGGGTAAATCTTATTTATGCAAAGAGGGGTATAAGTACCCATTACAAGTTCTACATATAAGGAAAGAAATAAAAATAGGATACAGTAGAGAATGAAGGGAATAATAAAGAATCCAAGCTAATAACTCAAAATAAACAAGAATTAATAATGGCTAAAACTAGCCATTAATAAATATTGTAATACACCCCCTCAATTCGAAGCATATATGCCACTGATGTTCAACTTGGATTTGTAATCATCGAACAATGACTGAGAAGGTTATTTGTGAGAATATCTGCCAACTGACCACTAGATGACACAAACGAAACACAAATTTTCCTAGACTCGAGCTTTTCCTTAAAGAATTGTCGGCCAATCCCAACATACTTGATGCGATCATGCTGGACCAGATTGTGAGCAAAATGCTAATGGTTGCCTTGTTATCACAAAACAACTGTAGGGGAGCGGAGACTATCATATGTAGTTCACGGAGCATGATGCATAACTAGAGAGCTTCACAAATTCCCAAAGACATTGATCGAAATTCAGCTTCCGCACTGCTCCGAGCAACGATGGACTAGATTTTCCACATGACCAGGCTTCCCCACACAAATGACTAGTACTTCGAGATATATTGTCGATCCTGGACTAATCCAACCCAATCTGTGTGTGTAAACTGTAATAGAATGAGTGTTCACGGGAAAGAAATAAATCTAAGCCTGGTGTACCTTTTAAATTGTGGAAAATCCGGTGGACAACTTGGAAATGGTGCTCATAGGAATCATGCATGAATTCACTATTCTAATCGTGTGACATATGTTTGGGCTTGTATGGGCAAGGTAGATAAGTTTTCTCACAAGACGCTGATAGTGAGTTTTGTTTATACGAACATTAGGAACATCAAGAAGTTTTTCATTTTGATCCATCAGGACAACTGTTGGTTTGCATAGAAGAAGATTGTTCTCTGTCAAAGGATCAATCACATATTCCCGTTGAGACAGACAAATACCCTGAGATGACCAAACAACTTCAATGTCTAAAAAGTACCAAAGAGATCCCAAGTCCTTCATTTCAAAGGAATCATCAAGAATGCCTTTTAAGGACTCCAATGCTGGTAGATTATTACCTCTGAGAATAACATCGTCAATATAAACGATAAGGATAGCTAATTGGTCGTTAGAGGAATGCTGGAAGAAGTGAGTATGGTTCGATTGAGCCTGAGTGAATCCATAACATACCACCATCTTTGTAGACTTCTCGAATCATGCTCGTGGTGATTGCTTCGAGCTGTGGAGGGACTTTCGTAGCCTATGTACTTGTCTCTGGGACGTAGTGGAGTTAAGGTCTTGAGGAAAAGTCATGTATACCTCATTTTGTAAGATTTTCATTTAGGAACACATTCTTGACATTAAGTTGGAATAATGACCAATCTAGATTCATTGCATGGGATAATATGACCCGAGTGGTGTTTAATTTAGCTGTCGGAGTAAATGTCTTTTCATAGTCAACTCTGTAGGTCTGTGAGTACCCTTTGGAAATCAACCCTGCATTTTCGTGTTGAAATGATCCATCAAATTTAAACTTGATGCAAAAAATTCATTGACATCCCACTACTTTCTTGCCCCGAGGAAGATCAACAATGTCCCAAGTTTGGTTCCGCTGAAGGGCATTTATCTTTTCCATGGCGTTAGCTTTCTAAGTTGGGTCTGCTAAGGCACCCTCAATAGTAGATGGAAGCTGATGATTGGTCAGGGTCATAGAAAATGTTCTGTAGGTTGGCGATAATATGCAAAAAGAAACATAGTTTACTTTGGGATAGAGAGATCATGTATGATTGCTTATCTTGATGTATTGACTTTCTTATTTGGAGTAGGAATAGTGCTGGAGATATCGTTCAGAGGGTATTTAGGGTCGAGCAAAGGGTTAGTGAGCTTGAGAGTAGGTGCATCAGAACTAGTGCGTCAAGTGGACATAAAGAGTGTGAGGATGTGCTAGTGGAACCAAAGGGCAGAGAACTCTTTGGTGGTAGGAGAAGTAGGTGGAACCAAATGAACAGAGGGTTCCTTGATGGTAGGTGACGTGGGGGGACCATCCGTAGGAGTAGGGTAAGGAATAGTGTCTATCAACTCTAGTTCCCTCTCATTGGATGTCGAGTAAGTAGGAAACATTAAAAAAAAGGAGTTATTAGCACTCACGTAGATCTTATTTGTGGTAGGTTCAAGGCATCGATACCGCTTTTTAGTGGTTGAGTATCCGACAAAAACATGTTTTATGGACTTGGGATCAACTTTACTTCGAGTTGGGGTCGTGTTCCAAGTAAAGCTTGTGCACCTAAAAATTTTTTGAACTAAAGTGCAGAAGACTCAATTGTTTGGAAAGCACAATCTCAAGATGGCTAAAGGGTCACAAAAGTTGAGGAAGTTGAGTTTTTGGTAGAACTCTATTTATAAGATAAGTGACAGTATGAATGACATCATTCTAGAAATATTTTGGGACATTATAATGAAACATAATGGAGCGAGTAACGTTAAGGAAATGTCGGTTTTTTCTCTCGACTATCCCATTTTGTTGAGAAGTGTCGGTACACAAGTTATGATGGAGGATGATCTTACTTTTCAAGAATTCTTCTAATATAGGGTTAAAAAATTCACGATCATTTTCTGTCCATAGGACTTGAATATGAGTTTTAAATTAGGTCAAAATGAAGATGTAGATGTTTTTGAAAGTGACAACATCTTTAGATTTATCTTTTAAAATATGGACTCACGTAATCTGAGTGTGATCATCAATTAAAGTAAGAAACCGCCCTTTATTGTTGTAGCTAAGAGTGCAAGAGGGCCCCCATAAATCACTGTGAATAAGAGAGTGAGCAGAAGGTGTGTATCTGTGGGGTCGATTAGGAACATGATGATGTTTAGCTAACTGACATGTTTTACATTTGAAATTAGAAGGATTTTAATTAGTAAACATCAATGGATACAATTATTCTAGATATTATAAACTAGGATGACCTAAATGACTGTATAACGACATGATAGGACATTCAGTGGACTTAGATAAACTTCAACTACTGGGTGGAGTGTCCTTGTTTTTTGTGTTTTTCTCTTGGATGAAGTGGAACCCGCCTACCCGTTTAGCAGTTCCAATCATTCTTCTCATACGACGATCCTAAAAGATACAGCATCAGAGAAAAAAATAAACAACACAATCAATGTCATAGGTCAACTTACTGACAGATAAAAATTACACTTCAACAGAGGTACATGTAACACAGATTCTAGAGTTAGACCTGTTAAAACAACAGATCATTTACCAACAATGAAATTTTGGGACCCGTCAACAATTTTAGGAGTATCCTTCCCTTTCCCCGAGCAAGGATATTATGCCGCGAAGACTTGTGAACTTCCAGTCATTTGGTCTGTGGCACTCGAATCAATTATCCATGGAGTAGAAGAGGCAAAAGAAGTGAGTGCTATGAGATTGGTACCTTGACGAATATGAGAGGTCGATGGGTCAGAAGAGAGCGAACTGGATCCAAGCAGCTTGATTAAGTGTTTCATTTGACTTTTAAGAGAATTGGAGGATTTTGGATTGTTCTAGGTAGAGGCTGGCTGTACTGTTTGGATTCAAAAGCTGTAGCAAGACCCTTGACAGCGGAAGATTTGACCGAAGGTTTGGATGCAGGTTTCCCATGGAGCATTCAACATTTATCACAAGTGTTGTTGGATTTGTGACAGTAATCACAATTAGGGTTACCAGTCTAGGGTTGAGCACTATTAGAGACCGAGGCTAATACATCGGTAGACAGTGTGGTAGCACCAAACATGACAAATCTCTAGCTCTTTTCAGGATGAATCTTAGTGAAAGCAGCACGAGCAGAAGGAAAAGGCTCCCGACCAAAGATACGGTCCCGGACATCGTTAAGTTCTTTGTTGAGGCCTACTAAAAATTGGAACATGTGGTCATTTTCAACAATTTTTTGGAAGAGAGATAGGTTGGCTGAAGATTCTCAAGTGTAGTCCTAATGCAGGTCTTATTTCATCCATAATGCAATTAGATCTTTGTAGTACTAGGTCATTGTCCTGTATCATTATTTTGCCTCACGAATTTTCTCATATACCTCATAGAGTTGGCTGAAATTTTTTACATCCGAGTAGGTATCACGAGCTGTCGTCTAGAGGGAACTAGCGGAAGGAACATATATGATTTGCCTTTCAAATTTTCCGTGGAGTTGATCAGTCACGTCATGACCATAGAATTCTCCACTTCCCTAACTCCATACGTTGGGTCAATCTTTGGAGGTTCACGAATCATACTAGTAAGATGACCGAATTTCCCACTTCCTTTGATGAACAAGGACATAGATTGAGACCATAGGAAAAAATTACCGTCGTTCAGTTTATCAGTTGTGATCAAAAAGTTATTGTTTTCTTGTCCTCTGGTCTGCATAGGAACAATAGTTGGAATTGATCCTCTTGTGGAATCAAGAACATCTTCTAATGACGACTTGATGTTGGTGGAGTCCGCCGTGATTTTAATTGAGTCCAACTAGATGCTAGGTTGTGGAGGCATTGTAAAGTTTTGGCTACTGAAGGAATATGGCCTTTGGAAGGGGTTCCCATTGGACTAGATCTCCTGGCCCTGGAAAAAGGTTCTAGAAGGGGCTCCAACAAACCAGGAGGGAGATCAAACAATTAGGCAGGGTTTCTGATGGCTGGAAGGTGTCTCTGGTGATCAGAACAGAGGTTTTGGATGGGCATTTGGCGACTGGGGAATCTAGGCCGGCAAGATCTGGATAGCTTCGGAAAACTTAAAGGGTTTCGAAGAGATGAGGCTTGAAGCAGGCCTAGCTGGCTCAAGAGAAGGGATGACAGAACTAAGAGGGGCTCCGACATATTGAAAGGAGCTGAACTGGCTAGCTCGACAACAACTAAGTTAGGACCATTACTCTGAAACCATGTTAGAATAGAACTAAGGTAAATCTTATTGATGGAAAGAGGGGTATAAATACCCATCACAGAATCTACAAGTAAGCAAAGAAATAAAAACATGATACAATAGAAAATGAAGGAAATAATAAATAATCCAAGCTAATAACTCAGAATAAACAAGAATTAATAATGACTAAAACTGGCCATTAATAAATATTCTAATAGGTCTATTAAGCAATTATGAGAGCAATTTCTTAAGAAGAACAAAATGAACAATATCATGAATGCAATTCAAATAATTTGTGTTAGCTTTAGAAAAGATGGATAAAAGTGAACTTTAGGGCCCAAATGAGATGTTTATCAAGATTGTAAACGGAGTTATTTGAGTAATCTGTTTAAAAGATCTCAATAAAATGCGCAAACTAAGATGATGTCATCTGATTGATGCAATATTTTTGTTTTAGTATTTTAATATTTTGGTTTCTGTAGTTTAGAACAATTTTGATGTTCATCATTGTTATAATTATAGGGGAATAGATTAGTCATACAACGAGGTTATTAGCGACTGTAGTTGGAATTACAAAAAGCATGTTAGAGATGAAACAATTTATACTAGAAAGTTTTATAGAGAGATTTTTTTTGTTCTATGAAAAATATGGAGATGTATAGAGCAACCTAAGGGTTTATTTTTAATGTTTAGAGAGCATCAAACGGATCTTTATTTGATGCATTAAATTTGAAAATATATATGATCAAGTATGAGTATTGGAAATTCAACCCTTAAGCTCATTATCAAGGAAGGATTCGTTATTTATTTAGAAAATCATCCTCTCTATATACCTTTTGTAGTTGGGTGGATTCACTTTGATGGACGGTGCACCTCTTTATGGATAACTTTTTTTTGCCTGCTGACCCCTTTTGTTTTGTTGAAAGAAGGGAGGAATAGACAGAAATCAATTTGCTGTAGTTAATTGTGTTACTGTCTTTTCAGCTTGTGACAAATAATCTTTACAGATTGCATATTTTTTTAAACTTCTTTGTTTCTTATTTTATTTTTGAACCTCACAAATAAGTTGACTGTAAATCTAGATTCTCTTTATTAAAATACGCCTTGTGTTGTTGTGATAGCAATCTTATGATGGGATTTCAAGCCTGGGTTGATATTTAAATTAATACTGACAAGTTAACAAAAAATTATTGTGATATTTTGTGTAGAGTTGAAATTATTTATAAATGATAACAAGATTTTATCGGTTACCGATGAATTAAAAAGTTCATCTTAGAATATACTCATTTATGGAAATGAAATTATT